TAAGGATGACACAGGGCAAGTGATGGACGGTCTTATCATTTTGGTGATGGTGAATTAATTTATTTTTGTTTTGGTTGGGCGACACCCAGCAGTGCTCAGGGCTTACTCCTGACTTCAAACTAAGGGATCACTCCTGGCAAGGGTTGGGGGATCCTAAGGGATGCAGACATAGTACTAAAGCTGGCTGCCTTCATGTCATGTTCTTTACCTGCTGTATTATCTTTCCAGTCCACAGTACATTGGTTTTGTTTATCAAAATTACAAAAATTTATACTATAGTAACCGTGTTACCTAAAGTACAATAAAATAAAATCAGCATAAAAGCTATATTTGTAAAAAAAAAGTGGTCTATAAGGTTTTTTATTTTTTTGAAGGGTGACCACACCTAGTGGTTCCCAGGGGACCATGTGGTGTTAGGATCAACCTGGGGTCTCCCTGATCCAAGCATATATTCAGTCCATCTAGCCATCTCACCAGCTCATATTTTTCTCACCCCCCCCCCCTTCTTTCCTTTTTGGATGATGCTGGGAATTGAACCCAGAACCTCACACACATCAGGAAAGTAAGTGCTCTATGGCTGAGTCATATTCCTAGCCCTTAAATTGTTTTTATTTTGGGGCTGGAGCAATAGCACAGCAGGTAGGATATTTGGCTTGCACGTGGCTGACCCGGCATTCCATATGGTCCCCTGAGCACGGCCAGGAGTAATTCCTGAGTGCGTGATCCAGGAGTAGCCCCTGTGCATTGCCGAGTGTGACCCAAAAAGCAAAACAAACAAACAAAAAAAACAAAAACAAAAAATTGTTTTTGTTTCTTTTGGGCCACACCCAGCAGTGCTTAGCACTTGCACTCAGAGAGCACTCCTAGTGGGGCTTGTAGGACCATATGGGGGTGTCAAGGATCAAACCTGGTTTGGAGGCATGCAAGCCAAGCTCTCTATCTGTTGTACTATCTTTTCAACCCCATGTTTTAAATTCAGTTTTAGCTTTTTCCTGTTTTAGAATATACCTGGAGGTGCTCAAGGACCACTGTCAGTGTTCTGGAGACCACGAGGTGCCAGCAGTTAAATCCGGGACTTCTGAATGAGAAATGAGCTCAATGCTCTGAGCAATCTCCCCAGCCCATATCCTTTTTTTTTTTTAACTCAATTTCATTTTGGGGGGTGGGGGCACATTCAGCTGTGATCAGGACTCTGCACTCAGGGATTACTCTTTTTTTTTTTTGCTTTTTGGGTCACACCTGGCAATGCACAGGGGTTACTCCTGGCTCTTCACTCAAAAATTACTACTGGCGGTGCTCAGGGGACCATATGGGATGCTGGGAATCGAACCCGGGTCGGCCACGTGCAAAGCAAACGCCCTACCTGCTGTGTTATTGCTCTAGCCCCTCAAGGATTACTCTTGGTGAGGCTTGGGAGATCACCTCTGGTGCCTGAGATCCAACCTGGGTTGGCAGTTTGCAAGACAATCACCTGCCTGCTGTACTATCCCTTTGGTCCTCCTGTATTTCTGAAAAGACTAAAAAAATGACAATAAAGATGGCTGCCAATAAGATGATTTTGGGGGGGAAGGTGGCCATGCCTGTGGTGATGGAGATTAAACCCAGATCTCCTGTTCTCCATGCTCTCAACCCATTGAAGTATCTTATGGCCCTATCCAGCTTATTTAAAGAACGTTTTTAACATTCAACTCTTGCATTAATAATCCACAGAAATCTACACTATGCCAGAAAACAGAATGTTTTCTATTCTGTTCTTTACCAAATCCAGTGATTTCACCTGGCATTCTTCTTCTTCTTTTTTTTCTTTTTTGAGTCACACTCAGTGATGCTCAGGGGTTACTCCTGGCTCTGCACTCATAAATTACTCCTGGCTGTGCTTGGAGGACCATATGGGATGCCAGGGATTGAACCTGGGTCAGCCCTGTGCAAGGCAAATGCCCTACCCGCTATCACTCTGGTCCTATGGTATTCTTATATCTATCTACGTTCAACTGAAATGGATACTATAAAGATAATAATAATTATACTGTTACTGGGTTTTCCAGCTTCCCTCCCACAGTTTTTATTAAAATGTAAATGACAGCCAAATATTTATTAATATAAATATTTATTTATTAAATATAAATAAATTTATCTCAGCCCTATTAAGAATTCTAAGCTTGCTGAATCAAGGACTTCCAGACTTACATACAATAAAAAAAAATTTTTAGGCCCCATAAAAATTCATTCAATGATATTTTGGGTAGAAAGGCAATAAAGGGACTGGAGCAATAGCACAGCGGGTAGGGCATTTGCCTTGCACGCGGCCGACCGGGGTTCAATTCCCAGCATCCCATATGGTCCCCTGAGCACTGCAAGGAATGATTCCTGAGTGCAGAGCCAGGAGTAACCCCTGTGAAACGCGCGGGGTGACCCAAAAAGCAAAAAAAAAAAGGCAATAAAGATCTATAAAGATCTATGCTGTTTATATAGGGCAATTTATATAGCAAAGAAAATTATATAATTAAATTAAAGCATTTTTGCTATTGACGATTAAGCCCAGAACCTGATACATGCAAGGATGTGTAAAGAAATTCTTCAATTCTATATTGCAAATTGAGAAAAACCTGTAAATCTATAAATGGAAGGAATATACTGGCTTTTGGAAAAAGCTGTAGGTGTAAAAAAAATAATAGAAAAAGAGGATAAAGTTCTCGTCTATAATGTTAATAAAGTGTACCCAGTAAAAACATCTTGTTTAAATTAATTTGTGCTTGAGGAAGGGTAAGGAGTACACTAACTACACTTTGAGGTATGAGTTCAGAAGATTTTTAAATTTCTGTCCCAGCTATCATGGTCAAAGATTGGTTGGTTCCATTGGGCTAAAGTGGGACTTCAAACTGTTGTTAAATAAGCTTTATTATTATTATCATTATTGCTGTGTATGTCTACTGAATCATTCTCACTGCTAATGTAGTTAGGAAATTAGTTTCTGCTGTTGACGACAAAATGTAAAAGATCCAACCGTATATGCAAAAACCAAGTAAGCCCAATAGGGCACTTCTGAGTAATCTCACTTTTAGGAAAAGAAATAGATTAAACAGGAGAAAGTCATCCATGGGGAAATTATGGTAATTAATGTATACTCATCTGATATGCATAACTCTTTCAACAGTTCTAATTTTTGTGTTTTATTTCCTCCCCTAGTTCCCTTATCTTCTTTGTTGATCCTGTGTGCTGTGACCAGGTGCTGTGACTCATTCGCTGTAAGTTCTCAGTGTTGCACATCAGGCTGCGGTGTTCTCACTCTTGGCCCCAGTGCTCACTGAGGTTTGCACTACTTTAGTTGTGGTGCTTCTGGGGCTCTCTTACCCAATGAGCATAAGTCATAGTTCTAGTGCTTGCTGCGGGTTGCTGGTGTTCAAGCATGTGCTCACCAGAGGAAGCACTTCCTGGCAGTGGTGCGCTAAGATCTTTTAAGTGGCTGTCCTCCCCAGGGGTCTCATCCCTGTGGCGCAGCCAGAAACACTTGCTGTACCAGGGATGTCAGACAGCAAGGCTGCCAGGCTCTAACACCAGGATCGTGCTCCAACATGCAGAACACTGGGGACGTGAATGCTTCCAAGGCGGGTCCTGCACAGTTCCTCTAGGTCCAGCAGTTCTAGTTCTTTTACGGCCCACAGAACCTGTGAAATCACTGGCCATTTGGTGAGGGGTGGGAGGCGGGGAGAAGTCAAGGAGCTCAAAGTTTTGTTTCCAACTGTTTGCTTCTTCCATAGTAACCAGTTCTTCCTCTTTTTTTACTCTAACAACTTTGAAAACATCTCCCAAAGTATGACTTAAGGTCTATCTGTGGAGGGAAGCCCCTGCCTCGCAAGGAGAGGCGCCAAACTTGCACTTAGACTCATGGCCCCCCAAAGCACTCCCAGGTGTGTGTGTTGGGGGGGGAGGAGAAGGGGTGTAGGCCAATATCACGCAGAGTATCGCTGGGGAGGTCTCTAGTACTCAAAATTTCCTTAAAAAAAAAGTATGCATTAAGGCGAATCGATTCTCCAGCCTTGCTGTAGACTAAGGCGGCTACACTTGGGAGGCAGAGAGCACTGGTGATGGTAAACCAGCGATTTCTTTATTTTTTTTTAATAATTTATTTATTGAATCACTGTGGGAAAATTTACAGAGCTTTCGGGTTTAGGTCTCAGACATGTAAGTATCAAACACATTTCCCTTTACCAATACTTATTTTTTAACCGTGAACCCCAATAGAACCCCACCTCCCACCCCTCCCAATTCCAACCAGCGATTTCTACTTTCGGAGTTTCTATTCTCAAATCTCAGCCGCGGCGGCGGTGGCGGTGGCGGCGGCGGCGGCGGCGACAGGGAGCGCGGTCTCCAGGGGCGCTGCAGCCAGAAGAAACTTGGGCAGGGCGGGCCGTCGGCCGGTCTCTCCCGCAGCGCAGCGCCTCCGCCCCAGGCCCCCACCCCACGAACCTCGCCTGGGGAATTCCAACTTCCCACCCGGGGAAGGCAAACTTCTTGCCTCATCTCCTGGTTCGCAGTGCCGGGAATCACTCGGAGCCGCTTTTCCCAGCCTCGGACAAACAAAAACAAAAACAAAAAAACAAATAAAAAACGAGCGGGGCGGCCGCCACCTGCCAGTTAAGAAGAAGCTGCACCGCCGCGAGCCCGAGCCCGGCAGGAAGGGGGTGCTGAGCTGCGTCCCCGTCCTGGGGCCTGGGGCTCTGCTGAGGGCGGGGGTTCCGGCCTAGAGGGGCTGCAGCTGGGGAGCGCGGCCGCAGTGTGTGTGTTAGTGTGTGGTGCGTGTGAGGAAATCGCGGCCGGGATCTGTGTGTGTCTCTGTGTCTCTGTGCATGTGCGTGTATGTGTGCGCGCGGTGGCGGCGGCGGCGCTGGGGGAGGAGCTTGGGCGCGGCCCCGCCCCCGCCCGTCCCCGCCCCTCCCCCACGCCCTTTCCACCCGCCCCCGCAATAGGAAAGGGAGAGAGGGAGGGGGGGAGGAAAGTGCTGTTCTGTGGAAAGGGGCGGAAGAAGTGTGGGGGGGGGAGGAAAAAAAAAAGGAAAGAAAGGAAAGAAAAAGGGAACAGAAATATGGCCGTCAGCCGCCTGGGCGGCCGCGCCGGGACCAGCTCCTAGGCGAAGCCCTTGCCGCGCCGCCGGGCCTCCCCCGCGCCCACTCCAGCTCGGGGCCGTTACCCCTCGGTGCAAGCGGCGCCCCTCGAAGGCCAGCCCGGAAGGCCGCGCAGGCGCAGATTGGCGGTGGAGGCGGCGGCGGCCGCCGCGGCAAGTCCACCCCCCTCCCCCCCCCCCCCACCCTCCCCGCGCCCGGCGCCGCCGAAGGCGCCCAGGCCGCGAAGCCGGCGCTTTCATGCCCCGGGAAGGGGCCGAGTGGGGGCGGCGCTGACGGAGGAGCGGGCGGCCGGCAGGTGAGCGTGTGCGGCGGGAGGGCCTCTGGCTCGGGAAGTGGCGCGCGGCCCCGCGGACTGGGAGGGCGCCGGGCAGGTAGCCGCGCGCGCGAGGACCTGAGCCGCCTGCGGTGGGTGGCGCGGGTGAGGGGGTGGTCGCGGCGGCCGAGGGGGGCGCGGGCCGGCTTTCCCGGCCTAATTTCCGGGGGGCGGGGAGTCCCCGGAGTTCTGCGGGTGTGATGGTGGCCGCGGGGTTGTGTGTGTGTGTGTGTGTGTGTTGCGGAGGGAGAGGCCGTGCCCCGAGCCCCGCCACCCGTGCGCCTCTCAGCGACTTTTTGCAGGGACGCTGGAGGGGTCCGGACCGGGGACTGGGGGGGGGGGTGATTGATTGGGGGGGTGGGAGGGCCGGGCCTTCGGGGCCACGGGTCCTGGGGTGGGGCGAGGTGGGGCGGGGGCTGGAATCGGAGCTTCCGACTGAGCCGGGTTGGTGAACTGGGGTCGTGGGGAGTCTCGAAGGGGTCTCGGGGTAGAGAGAGAGAGTGTGTGTGCGTGTGTGTGTGCGCGCGCGCGTGTGGCGAGGTCTTGGGGGACCTGGGTCGTGCCGCAGGTGAATTGTGGGCATTTCGTCCCCTGCCGTACGGGTGGCGGCTCGGCGGGACTTCTTTGTTGGGTTAACTTTTAGGAAGGCAGGTTTCCCTTCACCTCCGAGTGACGGAATGGGTGAATTGCAGTGAACTTTTCTGCTTCGAAAATGTGCCGCCTTGTCTGTTTTTTTTTTCTTTTTTTGCTGCGTAGACCTCTTGACTCCCAAAGACCGTGCCTCATCAGAACAAATAAAGGAATGACCCAGATTTTAAATAGCACCCCCCCCCCGAGTCTCCCCACCACCACCACCCAAGTGTCTGTTTCACACGGGAAAGTGTGGAGCAGTTGCCACAGTTACTCGGTGCGAATGTGAGGGAAAGTGTCATCTTCTGTAAACGAGTCCACAGCCCTCTTGTGTGTTTCGCGGCGGAGAAATTGTCAAGCTATTGTCGTCCGGGAAATTGATTCCCGGAGCCTGCTTAATGATGTGCGAACCCGAGGGCTCCCTAGACGCCCATTTAGTGCAGGGGGAGGTCGTCCCTTCCGGTCGGGCTCGGGGTTTTAGAAGGTGAAGTTTCTCGTAAATAGGTAAGAATGGTAAATAGGTAAGAATGTTCGTGCCGAGGCGCCGCGTTCTCAAATACTGGATTTGCAAGGATCGTGGTTACCTCAGCTCTCTTCAACCCAGAGCGTTCTGTGGCTTTCTGTGTCCGCACGATAAGAGCAACGATTGGTTTGCCAAAGGAAATCTCTTGCCGGGGCATTGAAGGTTCCACGCTTATTGATCCCTAGAACCGTGAACACCGCCCGTCTACTTTGTTTTCTGTCTTGTTCTTTGTATGGTTGCCTAAAGTCAGTCGTCTTCTTGGTTTGAAACCCGGAATTCAGAAGTGAATTTAGGTTTGTGTTCCTGAAGACAAGCTTCCTATCTTTTTGTTTGTTGGTTGATTTTGGGGTCACACCTGGCCATGCACAGGGCTTGCTTCTGACTCTGCTCTGGTATCACTCCTAGGCGTGCTCTGGTGATTATGTGGGGTGCCGGGGATTCAGCCCAGGTGGGCCACGTGCAAGGCAAAGCGCCTTCCCTGTAGTTACTGACTCTAAGTGCCTACGTCTTTATAGGCCTTGCTTTGATTCTCTTTTTCTAGTAATGGCAAACTCAGTTCATTTTTACCTCTCCACTGTTGTTTCATTTTCATTCTGTTTTTGCAAAAAACGGTTCGCTGGAATTAGGGATTTGACTTTTTTATTACTGATATTAGTGAACTGATCACCTATCAGTTGGCTTTGGTCATAGTATGTTGCTAAGCGTAGTATTGTTAAGACGTGTTCATTTGGATAGCAGAAAAGTTATGGCGTTAAAAATGTTGGACTTACATATCCTCGTAAATTTAATCTTGTATAATTTTCTTAAATGGTGCATTCTGTTGTTGAAAGTAAACATAATATTGTGTAGTATAAACTTGAGAAAATTGGCAGTGGAGTTAGTGTATGAAGATTGATCTTATTAAAAGGCAAGTGTTTTAAATTACTTGAAACTGTACTGGTGTGTAGGCTGTAACAATTATGTGCCAGACTTGGAAGGTTATTTGGTTGAGATGCTGTCTATAAAGAAACAAGTATCGGCAGTGGAAGTTAGCTTGTAGCTATGCATAGTATTTTGCATAATAAATAATAACTCAACAAGGTACCTTTGCTCTTTATATATCTGCCAGTTAAGATCAAAACATCTCATTTTCTCTGGAGTTTCCTGCCAAGACAAATATTGATTTTGCATTGGCTTTGCTGCTCAGTTTCTAAGTTAGATTTCAGTCCTATCCCTGCAATATAAAGGTTGTAAAGTAAAAAAAAAAAAAAGCTGCTGAGTCAGAGACAGGTTGTCTTATTTGGTCTTTCTGAGTTGCAATATGGGATTTCTTTTGTAATTTGAATTTCTAATATGTTTGTCGAAACTTAGTAAAGACAAATAAGTTTTCCTAATACGCAAATTAAAATTGTGCTGGTACCCATGTCCTATTCTTTCAGAATGTTAGCTTGATATGATGGACTTGTAATGGGATGCCTCCTTGAAATTGGGGATTTCCTTTTAAAAGTTAGAACTTAAGAAAAATAGGTCATAGTACAGTGGGAAGATGCTTGCTTTGCACTCGGCCAACCTGGGGTTGATCCCTGACATCCGACATGGTCCCTTGAACCTGTCAGGAGTGAACCTTGAGTGCAGAGCCAGGAGTAAGTGCTGAGCACAGCTGGGTGTGGCCCTTTCAAACAAAACTAAAAACAAAAAAGCTTCACATAGTCCAGTTGTGAGGTAAAGGAAGTCTTTAAGCATAGCATTTTATATTGCAGTAGGTTCCAAAATCAGATAATTTTATTATTTGAATTTTAAAGCTTATTATTTTGTAGAAAGTTATTTTGTGAATTTTATAAACTTAATTTTTTCTACTTACTACATTATATATGTATACACACAAATAAAGGTAGATGTAATACAGTTAATGTGTACTTGTTAACTTGTAATGGGGAAAAATGCAGTATTAAAAGAAATTCAAGATTTGGAACTTTTTTATTCTCACCTATCTTATATTTACGTTTTGCTCTTGTTCTTTTTATCTTTGTATATTAGAATAATTTTTCAGTCTTAGATATACTTGTTTATAATTCTGAGGTTAACTTCATTTAATAGTCTTTCATTATTTATTCATTAATTCATTTGTGTTGTCAGGCATCGAACTCCAGAGCCTCAGACATGTCAGGCATGTGCTGTACCACAAGCCATGTAACCAACTGTTTGTTTTTTTTATTTTATACAATAGAGTGTATGATTTTGTTCTAGTGCTGTTTTACCACTAGTTTTAGTCATAATTTTTCTAATTCATTTTTACTTACTTTCCCCCGTCCCCTGCCTGTTGTTGTTACTCTTAAAATATTGCTATAAAGGGGCTAGGAATATAGCACAGGAGTTGGTTTACAAAATGTTCCTTTGCATGCCCTGGACCATGGCACCTTGTGGTCCTTCCAAGCATCACTGTGTGTAGTCATGTGGTGCCATGGTATCCTTGGTATCACAGGGCTTGAGAAGCACAGCATCCTCTGGCTCAGGCATCGAACTGTCAGCTAGGCAAGGCTCTTGGATCCAGAGGCACACCCCTTCCCCATGCTTTAGTCAAGCCATTTTGCTAATAAGATAGAGAGTCCAATTAAATTTGGAGAGGGTAAACTTTTTTTTTCAGTTACTTTCTCTGAAATGCATCATTTGTACAATATACTATTTAATTGAGAGCAGAATTGAAACAAATGAAAATTTTTTTCCAGTCTGGGAGATGATTTACAGGGCTGGAGCACATGCTTTCTGCATGGGAACCCTGGTACAGTGTACCCGCCCCCACAAACAAAATGTGTTTAACTATGCATATGTGATTTTAATTGACTAGAAATAAGAGTATAAATGTATGAGCTCCTTACTGACATGTTGCGAGTTCTAATAACATATGTAAGTAATATTCATCTTTTTTTCCTTTTCCCTGTTTTTTCCCCATTTATTTCAGTGCCAGAGATTAAATCCAGGTCTCATGCATGTTAGGCATGCGCTCTGTTCTTATACATCCCTGCCCTGTATAAGTCATATACTTGGTTTTTGGTCCAGTATGTAGAGCAGTGGTAAAGGGCATGCTCGGCTTACATGAGACCCAGGGTTTGATTCCCAGTACTAAACTGCATCATACCAAAAAATGAAGAACCAAGAATTCTTGTTTTTCATAGTAAGGCCATGGATCATTCTATTTTAAATGCACTCTTTTAACCAAAGCTAATATTTTATATCCAGATTTATAACTATAGTTTTACTTATAGAAATCATTTTCTTAGCATTCAAAACAAATCTTTGAAATATTTTAAGTGGTTCCTTGAATTTACTATTTCAACTGTGTATTTGCAATTCATATGTGTGAGGGGGTCACTCCTGGCAGTGCTCCTGGGACCATATGGTGCCAAGACCTCCTGCTTGAAAAGTCATGTACAGAGCCTATTGAGTTGTTTCTCCTGCTCCCGGGGAGCTCAGTTTTTTGGATAGTGGGGGGTGGGGGGGAGGGTTATAGCTGTGGTTTGACTCCTGGTTCTGTGCTCGGGGTCCTGGCTGTGCTCAGGGGACCATGTGTATATTAGGGATCATGTGTAAACTGGTATGGTATTGGCCACACGCAAGACAAGTAAGTGCCTTATTCTTTCTTCTTTCCTCCTTGCCTTGCAGTTCATTTTTATCTCAATTTAAGAATGCTTCAGTCTTAAATGCATTAGTGATATGTCCATGTTTTTTAATTATGGAAAATATTAAGGCCCTGTGCTCTTGCCAGGGAATGAAAAGATGAGCAATATTCAGTTTAAATATTAAAGTCTCTTAGGCTAAACAGTTTTATAAATAAGCGCTATCACTACAATAT